AGCACCTCCCCGCCCCTTTCATGTGTGTGGAGGTGCTGGAGGCGTCCAGCCTGCGGCCGCCCTCCGCTGTGGTCCGGGGCCTGTGCATCGAGGACGTGGTCTGGCTGCGGGCCCCCCCCCCTCAGCCCGGGCCCCCCGGCTTGCGGCTGGGGGCCACTCTGCGCTGGAGCTGTCCGGCTGAGCTGGTGCGCCACTTCCGGGTGTACTGGCGCGCGCTGAGGGGGCCGGATCCACGAGTGCCCCCGGGGCGGCTGGCGCTGGTGGGCCGCGCGTACTCCAGCCTGTTCAGGGTGACGGGGCTGGCTGTGCCCCAGCCCCCCGCCCTGCTGGAGCTGGCCGTGGAGCCCGTGGCCAGAGAGGGCTTCCCAGTTCCTGAAAGCCAGTGGGCCCGCAGACAGCTGAGCTACGTGGAGGACGCTGCATCCTGAACACACACACACACACACGCTGTCAGGCTGGCTCTGGGAGGCCACATGTTCCACCGGCTCCTGAAGTGCTCTTCTGCACTTATTAGTCAATGAATCAGAAAGCCGGTTAGACAGATTTAAAGGTTCCAGGTGCTGACTGTACTTTACAGATGCTTTTTGTACTTCCCCCTATACAACCAACACCACTTTTTGTGGTGACAGAGACCAAAACAACACTTCTTTGGCTTGTTTTCAGTTAGCTGGTCCCCCCCATCCCTAAGGATGTCACAGATCAGCACGTTTCAGCGTGAGTGGGTCTGAAAGGCAAACAGATGTGGACTGTGTGACAGCACGCTGCTAAGGTAAAGAGAAGTGAGGAGCTTCAGCAGAAGGGAAGAAGACTCATGAAAAACTGACTGAGCAGTCAATCATGTGACAACATGGGGCCATTTTCCTGTCATTTCTGCTCTGTTTTGTTTGAAACTGTAATTCCAACTGAAACATTAAACCTGTTTCTTCAGTTTCATGATTTTTTTGTGTATGTTGAAACAAGCACATTCTTTTCCAACTTTAAACACGTTTGTTTTTTTCCTTTTCAATTACCTATAGAAAAAGCTCAGAAAAATAAGCTTCATGGAAGATCAGACGCTTAGATTTTCCATGTTACTCTAGTAAAGCCCGTGTCTGATGAAGAAAATAACCCATTACTGGGTAAATGAAAGAGATCTGTAGTTACTACTGTGACTTTAATCAGTGTTAAGTTAATGTGCTTTGTTTCTTGAAACGATCTGCATTTGCATTTATCTTTTTTCTGAAAGCCATTCTTTGTCACTTTTTACCCGAAAGACAAAGCTTCTAGAAGGAGAACAGTTTTTTAACCTAAGAGCCCAGAGGTCCCAAAGAGGAAGAACTGCTTAAGATTAGTCACATTTTTTGAAAGATAGAAAAACCAGACTAGATAACCCTACTGTAAAATGTCAAATGAAAGCCTTTATGAGGACACTGGGTACCTTTGTTATTTTTCATGTAAATGTGGAGTGGCTGGTGTTTTACTGTGTTTGTCAGTGCATTGGACAGAACAGACTGTTCAAGAATCCCCATCCTAACACAGATGGCAGGCCATTGTGTTATTTTGTGGTTTTGAACAGCAGAAAAAGGGATAACAGTTCAAGTGTTAAGGAAGCTGGTGGGCTAAAACAAGTGCGAGGACTGGGAATCCCTTAATATTCAGAGCACAGACATAAAAAATCTGTGCAGAGGCTTCCTTACACACACCATGGAACAAGCCCTTCTGATCGTTTAAAAAAGACATTGTTTTATTGATTCTGTGGGTACAATGCAGTAAACTCATGATGCCATGCAGCCTGTAATTTGAAGGTGATGTGACGGTAGTGATTGTCAGAGTGCTCCCGCTGGGACGGATCACTGCTGCTGGGTGATCATCTTCAGCATCTGCAGGGCCATGGCCCCCTGGTCAGACGGGATCTGGGACAGACACACAGACAGAAACCTCTTTTCACTCCCCAGCTCTCATTGTTTGACCTGTGTAATGTGACGTTTCTGAGGGCCTGTTAGGATTAACTGGATGAGCGTGGATGCTGCTTCCACCTTCAGAAATCAGCTCCAAAACAGCTTTGTTTCTTCTGTTTGTTTCACACACACTCATTCAGATGGGCCTCCTGGTGTTGTTCTGGGTATATTCAGACTTTAATCTACCCTAAAAGTACACACCAGAACTGTGTTCGCTCGGTTTCCCTGCACAGCAGGGACAGGACCTGGCCCCCACCCCATCATTCACACCGCGCCTTCCCAGCTCAGTTACCATGTGACCAGCTTTGAGGATCCAGTAGAAGGCAAAGTTCTTGTAGGTCTTGTAGAAGGCTCCAGTAACGCCAGGGGCGGCCGGGTCATCCAGGGGGGTCCACCTCAGCTCGTTGAAACCAGGAAGTCCTTCCCACTGCAGCTGTTTCACCCATTGCTCCTGACCTGCAAGGACAGAAATCTTCTAGAGGAAATCCTCTTCACTAGGCCAGGGCACCTGTTGGCACTGGATAGCACTCAGCAGCTAAGAGGCTGAGTGTGAGGCCCCCTGTGCTAAAGAGTACTCACCCATGGTGTCCACGATGAGGTCCAGTTGTCCGTTATAGACGGTGACATTGACTCCAGCTGTCAGCAGCTGGTCCACTATGTCCACCACTGGCCTCATGAAGTCTCCCGCCATACTGCTGAACACTTCCTCTGCCTGGCCTGAACACATGGGCGCCGTCAGAGGGGACAGGCAGCACAAATGTGCCCTCCAGGAAATGTGAGTGGAAGATAAGGTACCTCCCCAGGTGACGTTTTGGGGGATGATGGCCAGTTTCTTCTTGATGGGTCCATTCATCAGCTCACTGAGGGATTGCCTGTGGAGAGGTCGGAGGTGGCGCCATGTCTGCAGGGCTGAGGGAGACAGAGTGAGCTGAGCAGCTTAGCCTTCTTCTCTGAGGGGCTGTGGTCAGCAGCACTCTGTCTCACCGATGAAGTCTCTCCCTGACCAGGACGCCCGCTCCTCATCCGGCTCTTGTGTGAGTATGTTGTAGAAGTTGACTCCATTGGTGTTCTGGCAGAAAACAGCCCTTAAAGCCTTTTGCTGTTGAGCATAGGCCTCCCAGTAAAAACCCCCCAGTGTGGTACCCACCTGCTCCACCACCGTTTCAGCCACAGACCACAGCTCAGTGGCCTTAAGGAACTGCTGCTGCTCCACGGCCTCCTTCACAGCCTGGGCAGCCCTGCTGACGTCCGCCAGGCCGTGGTCGTCCAGCAGGGACTGCACACAGCCAGTCAGACGGGCAGAAAAACCTCAACAAACACTTTGGTGCATCACTTACTGTGGTGTAGAGGTATGGTCCCCAGGTCATGACCGAGTCTGTGTGGACAGCACAGGGTTCAGAGCACACACACACACACACACTGGGGGCTGGTAGGCTTAAAAACGGGTTGCTACTGACCAAGAGGAGAAATCCACGAGTCCCCCAGAGCCACACCAGCAAAGTTGCATTTGACTGATCCCTGGGCTACTGCCTACACATCAGACAAGAGACACAAGAAATCCCACATTCAGCACCACTAAACTCTGGCTGTGAAGTTTCTCAGTCCAGTGGAACTTCATTTGTCTGCTCCCAGCAGAAAAGGTGTGCTTTTTGGGGATGAACCTACTCTGAAGTGAGCTGGGGCGTTTGTGCTTCCTCTGTTGGGCAGATGCCCCCCCAGCAGCACCGCAGACACTGACCAACCACCAGGCTCTACGCTGACTGGAAAGGCTTTCTAACTCACCTTGGTGAGCTCCAAAGAAATAGCAGCTGCCATCTTCCCTCCATAAGACTCAGAGAAGATATAGAAGGGGACGCTCTGTGTGGATAGAAAGTCAAAGCACACATCAGTGCTGCTTCCATTTCCCAAAACAAAGTTCAACACCAAAAAAATCCCATGGATATATCTTTCATGTACAATCCCAAATTCTGATGATTATGTCATAAACTTTCCATTTGTTTTGGTTTTATTAAAGTGTAAGATTTTCTTCAACATTTTACCACAAGCTAAACTGTAAAAGATTTTAAAAATATACTGTATGTTTTTACTTTATGGTGGTGCCATAGGTTTAGAAATCCATCAATGACATGTGATGCATACGTTATAAAAGGGTGAGGAGTGTAAGAGGGTGAGGAGAATAGCGGATGCTGGGGGTGCGTGGACAGACCTGGAACTCGGCCCTCTCTGTGAAGAAGTCCCTCAGCACCACCAGCATGTCTGCAGCCACAGTGGCCACATCGGT